ACTGTAATAAATCTATGGTTTTACCCTAACCCTAACCCGGCCATTGTTTTTGCCTAACCTTTTTGAATACCCGTAACCTCCTAAGAACATATCAACAGTTATCTTATTCCTCCTAACCATTTCCCAGGCTGAAATCTAACTTTCAAATATTTCATTTATGGCCGTTTTCGACCGGTCCCAATGAAATTAGTTAATATTTAATAAATTCAACAATAAATTTTTTTCTGAACAATAACTTAATGTTTAATGAAGTTATAAAGTCAGTTACATTAAGCTTACAAAACCAATGATTATTTCATGATATATGTGAATAAACTTTCAATTTATAAATGAAAACTTATATTTCTTTAGAATATATTCATTGGAATGACAGTATCTAATACTACTCAAAAGAACAATGGCTTGTTAAGGTTGGAATAAAACTATTGATTTCGTGGAAATTTTTTGTTACATCAATTATATGTCAATGTATAATATTAACTCTAATAAAAAATTTCAGTTCCAGTTACAGTGCATATTGCAATTTAATCAATTGAACAAATGAACAAATGTCTTGGTCCATTTCAACCAAATTTCCTCTTAATGTCTAATTTAAATGCTTTATTTCAAATAAAATACTTAAAGTTGCAGCAATAAAAAAGTTGAATAACAGAGTAGATAGTTTCTAATAGCAGGTTTCCAAGTTACCAAACTAGTGTCCAATATTGAAAGAGTAGAAGGCTTGTCCCATTAGAGGTTGTTTCCAGTTGATCTTTCCAGTGTAAGGTAATAACCAATCACCACTTTACAATTGGTGGTCTAGTTTATATTTAACCTTGGGAACAATATGTTACAAAACAGAGATATCTTTTGTATTATTTAGATAAAATATTAACCTTTTATTGGGTTCCCCATTATGTTTTTCCAATTGATTTCTGTTTAAACCCCTCTGCTATTTGTATTTTTACCCTAATGATATATCATTAGAATGTTTTGTTTCAACTGTTCCAACTCAATCATAGTTATTAAACAGATGGCGTTAGCATTTCTCTGTATGTGTTATTCAAAGATATTGGCAAAAAGCTCAATTAGTATAGACACTTCAGAATCTGTAACATTCTGTTATTAGGTATGCAAATAGCAGACTATTCATCAACTGCAATCGGTGATTTGCCAAAGAGTATGCAACTTGGTTAGGAGCAAAAGGAGCAAGACAACTTGTGAAGATACCTGTATAGCTATTTGTTCAACATTGATATCAAATATATACTATTGGGAAAGTGGCTGGGAGGCAATACTTTGGTTGTGTAGCATCATATGTGCAGTGTTCAATATTTGCAGTAACTACTTATTAATTGGATGCGACAGAAAATGTCCATGAAAGAAAACATCCATAAACCGAAAGAAAATGTCCATTAACTGAAAGAAAACGTCCATAAACTGAAAGAAAACATCCATGAATCAAAAGAACACATAAACCCTAACCCTAACCCTGTTAAAGAGAATTGATGAGCCAAAAAAATGCAGGGAAAGTGTACCAATAAAAAGTAATTCTGCTGCAAAACTTAATGAGAAGGAAGAAGCAATTGTTGAATATCCAGAAAAGAATATTGAGGAGAATAACAGCATGACTGAGGAAAAATTAAAAATTGATGAGAAAGGAGACAATAATCAAGGACAAGAAAAGAGTACTGAAGAGTTCACAGAAGAATTGAGATTATCTATATCATGGAGTAGCAATGACAATAATGATGAAAGTATAAACACAAAGGTTGACAAAGGAAATATCATTAATGGAAGTGATATTGAATATGATAATGAAATTGAAGTTGAAAATTTTGAAACAATTCAAAATGCATATATAGAATCTGAAAAAATTGAGGAAGAATCTTTTGAAAGTGAAACATCTGCCAAAGAAAATTCTTCTGACAATTTTCGTTTTAAAATTCTGCCACATGGAAGTCAAAAATGCAAAGACTTACTTTTTCACAAAGGTTTTTCATATACTATTAAATTAAAAACAAAAACAACTACTGTATGGACTTGTTCTGTCAGAAGCAAAAAAAGAAAAACTTTACAAAATATATGGCCTGATGCTGTCTTGACTGGATGTTCATTTCACTGGTCTCAGGCAATATTTAGAAAAATTCAGGTTTATTAATTTCTAAAACAATTTTAACAATCCAATTAATATTTGTTTTGTTTAAGGAACTCAGTTATAGCAGGGAATTTAGAAAAAAAGAGGGAGCTTGGGAATCCATGAGAATGATTATGTCTTTGCCATATTTGCCTCATGGCATGATTGAAAATCAATTCACTAAAATTCAAAATCAACTGACAAAAGAAAATAAACTGTCTGATTTGTTGGACTACGTGTCTAATAGTTGGATAAAAAATACATTTTGGTCTCCAGGAGACTTGGTCTGTTTTTGATCAAAGCATAAGAACAAATAATGATCTGGAAGGTTATCATCAAAGGCTGAATAAAATTGTTGGAGAAAATGTTTCTTTTTATTTAGTGATTGATGAGTTAAAGAGGGAAGCAGATATGATAAATCTGTACAAAAAGCTTTTAAGTGAGAGAAAGATAATTAGACTTGAAAGGAAGACTTATAGCCAAATTCAAAAAGATCTTTTCTTAATTTGGGAAAATTTTAAAACAGGTGAAATTAATGCAAACCAACTTCTGCAGCTTTGCTCAGAATTATATTATTGAAAATAATTGACAATACCTTGATATCAAAAAACTTTACTTGAAAACACTGGTCATTTAATTGTAAAACTTGAAAAAAGTTTGTCTTTCTTTTAAAGTTGTTTACAAATAATCAATACACAATTTATATGGTAAACCTAAAGTTGCATATATAAAAAGTTTTCTATTAACTTGTTTTTCAATATAGATTTACATTTAAATGAAATTTATTTTTATTTATGTTTTCTTTTAGTTCATGGATATTTACTTTTAGTTTATAGACATTTTCTTTCACAGTAGGGACGTTTTCTTTCACTCCATAAGGAAATATAATTCCTAAAAAATTAAGCTAATAGGAAAAGTTAAGTGATTTTTTTTGTGAATATTTCATTTATTAAGTATATGTTTAACATATTCTTTTACCAAAGGTTTACTTTTTCAACATATATTTATATTTAAATGAAATTTTTTTTAATGGACATTTTCTTTCAGTTTATGGTCGTTTTCTTTCATGGACGTTTTCTTTCATGAACATTTTCTGTCGACCCCTTATTAATTGTATTCCATGTATGAGATGATAAAAGATCCTCTAACAGGCATGTTTTTTATCAGAAGAGTCAGATCCCTTCCATCAATATTCAGTATGCTTATCAGCAATTTTATACCAATCATTATGTTTGACAATGTGTTGTACTCGGGACTTTCTGTCTTTGAAAGCTTCTAATATTTTAGCTTCCTTTTTTGAAATGGGGTTGTGTGCTTGAGTTTTTTTGTTGATTTTTATTTTAACCAATTGAATTATCTTATTTGTCATATTTTAATAATATTATTAAGAATGAGGCAAAAGAAAATCAAAGCATTTTTCATTATTCAGTATTCTGAAAGGTTAGATCAAGAGTAGTAATAGAATTAACTTTAGGAAAATGCAGAAATAAGCTCTATTGTTACAATATCATCTTTTTTCCAATTTTAATATTCCTCCTCTGCTCACACTTTCAAATGCTGTTCTAGCCTTCAACCTTTGCATACTCAGGATCTGTCTGTTGTTTACTATTACAAGTACAACAGTTTGTATTCCTGGCCACAAACCAGCAGATATATCAATGTAATGTAAACCTAAAACTGCAGCCTTATATGTATTATTTCTGGAATTCCATCCAGAATGTGTATCCAACACGACTGCATCAAAACCACGTTTTACTCTTGACTGTGTGGCTAAATTTGTTGTTCTATAGACATAAAATGCTGGTTTAGCAACTGATGTATTTAATTGAAATTCTGCTATATATGTATACAAATTGTTCGATCTGGAGGTGCCTTGTACCAGTGTTAAAGATACAGATCTTTCAAAAGATGTTGAAAATTTAATCTTTGAAGTGTTTCTTTACAATAAATGTTCTTTCAAGTCTCCTGGCTACTCAGGAAAGTATATGGAAAAAGGAGAGGACTGTAAAGACATGAGAAAGCCGATGGCCTTACCTTTTATGCCTGATAATATCACTGCTCCAACACTTTACAGATTAAAATCTCACATGACAGAAAAGAAAAATTTGCAGATTTGTTGGAATATTATGAGACTACTTGGATAATGAACTCCATATGGAAACCAGAGATTTGGTCTATATATGGATTGTCCATAATGACTAATAACAGTGTGGAGGGATGGCACTGTAGAATGGACAGTAAAGTACCATCCAAAGAATCATTTCATTGGCTGGTTGATGAACTGAATAGAGAAGCGGATTTAGTTATAATCTATGCAAACCTTATGTCTGAGAAGAAGATTATCAAGTACCAGAAAAAGCGATATACTGAAATAGAGAAAAAATATTTGAAATTTGGGAAAATTATAAACTTGGAGGGTTTTTGGCTGATGAACTTATAATTAATATTTGAATTATAGAGCCAGTCAATGAAATTTAGTTTTTAATAAAATGTATTGAAGAAAAGAAAGTTAAAATGTTTTCAGAAAGCGAAAAAAACATAGCATATCTCTTAAATTAAGAAACCTGTCAAACGACTCTTCACATTCTTGAGAGAATGAATGCCAAATGGAATCAAAAAGTTTTTATCAGATAAAAAATATTCTTCAATGTAAACTATCCAGCATTAAAGTTTGTTATCATGTTTTAAGCTGTAAAAAATGCATTTGAAAGATTTCAAATAAAAGGAATATGAAAAAAGGAATAGAATGAAAATAGTGAGGAACTTTGAGGTTTGCCTGTGATATCCAATTATCACTTTAAAGTTGACAAACTGTCTATTTCTTATAAACATCTTTAGTAATTAATTATATAGAGTTTACCCTTAAAAGGCAATTGGATAATAATCAAAATATATGTACAGTTGCAATCATTTTTTCTGATATATCATGATATACTGAAATTTGAGAATCTGATTTCTTGCATTGATAAACAAGTTGATTTTTCAAATTCCATTCAGTATCTTGAATTATCAGTTTATTACAAATAGTTATTTTAGAATCTTCTCCATTCTTCAAAGAATAAACTGCAACTTGTTCCTTACTGTCTAAACCTTCAATGAAAACATATAAGAATGAATTCAAGTTATAAGTTGTACCAAAGAGTGGATAAGTTAATTTTTCAAATTCTTGTAAACAACGCGGTCTAACTGCAATTTTATTTATTCATTTATACTGTTCTTAAATTGAAATTTCTATGTACAAACCTTTGTGAGTTGTTCTTGAAACTGCAATAAGATCTATTTCACTTAGTCCTATACTATCCTTCGACACCAGTGTAATAGAATTTGAGAATTGAAAGTTGAACTTTATACAAAATGTATGAGATTGTAAAAAGTCACCATATGCATATTTTATGATATCATATCCTTTTAGATAGTCAAAAACCTTTACTTGCATGTTCTGCTTGGCTGAATTGCCATTAAAAACTGAAACAATATTGAGAAAATAATTTTCATACAACGTTTAAAAATGAATGGATTACACACTTGTCAAACAAACATAATTTAGATATATGAGTTCAGTTTGTAACACAATAACATTATTAAATGCTAAATTTATAATTCCAGTATTATCTGTAAGATAGTACACGCCATCTTTGATCATGTTGAAATCATTGGTTGACATTTCTGCATTCTCCAATTTGCCGGAAGTAATAAATTCGTTCAAGTTATTACCATATTCTATATGTAAAAAAAAAGACAAAAAAAATCATCTAGAGAGTACAAACTTTGTTTTAAACAAAGGTTATGTACTCTGTGGTTCATATTGATCTATTGCAGAAGCATATAGATATATTTCTGTAAACTGCAAATATTTTAGTTCATTTGTTGAGTCATACCGAATGACAAGTAAATATCTTCCAACAATAGGAGGATTACATCCAATATTGATATTTTCAAAAGGAACTCTAAATAATGCTGACAAATTGTCAATGCAAAATTTATGATGTGAATGAAAATCCGAATCTGGTACGTGATTCGCTGTAACATAAATATTCGCAAATCTCTGTAATTCATCTGGAAAAGAAGTCAAATTACCTAATGTCAAACAAAAAAATAATCTATTACTCACGATCCCTGATTTGAGTGACAAAGATAATTCTATGAAATATTCTTGATTGGAGAGCATCAATTAGCATATATGGTTTTTTATATGGACCTATCTCAAAATGTCTTGAATGAAATGATGTAAGGAAATTATTATCATAACCATTTTCTATATTATAACCAAGGCCATTTCCTCCATTTCTTGTCTTCAAGCTCGCTATATTCAAACTATCAAATCCTTTGTTTGTAAAGAAAGGTATTATAATTATTAAAGTACACATAAAGTTGACCTTCACCTCTATTACTATTAATTAAAGATCCTGTAACATCTACGTCACACAATATCAACTTTTTATTGATTGCTGTTAATTTAATTGTAAGAAAAGAACCAATGGATTCTGAATCGCAAAAATAGCAATCGTATTGCGCAATATCTGTAGCAGTTGGCTGTTTTACGGGTCCAGTGACATATTTGCAAAGAGTTTTATTATCATTAGGATAATCACCAACAAAAATGTTGAATTCCTTTAAATTTTCATCTGGCTCAATAAAATAGACTTGTATTTAAAATAGTCATTAATTATTTAACTTACAAAGTGCATTGTTTGTATTTAACAGACAGACTTTTGTAACAGAATAAATACTTTGAAGATCAACAGACCACCATGACACATCCTGAGGATCGGCTTCTGTACTCGAACAGTATTCATTCTGTACAAAAAATGGTACAAAGATAATAGAGTTACATGTTGAAATCTACAATTTATTACTTACTGCGCCATATTCAATATTAATATTATCATCATTTGCAAAAAAAGGTGCTGAAGGCTTTTCGCTGCTAACAGTAGAACTTTGAAATGATAATTTTCCTCTTGCTAAATTTATACATTCTGTTCCAATAGGACAACAAACTGAAATCAATAAAAGTAATAAAGTTTTATAATACAACTCAATTTATAAAATATATTCTCACAAAGTAGAAGGAAAAAAGCAAAAGTTTTATAAATAACTTCAGCCATTCTTAAAAAGCGTATAGTTCAACGTTTTTATTACTTTCCTTTATGAACATGTTCTATTTGATTTTGAAACATTCATTTCTCCTTAATTTGAAACAATGATTTCACGAATTATGAATAAACTGTTTTGAAGAACAGTATATAACTTTATTCCTTTGTATTTGACAAAGACTTGCAAGATTCAGTAAGGTCAGAACTGAAAATTTTATATTTTTGATCAATATTTAATTTAATATATATATTAATATAATGATGAAACCAGCCAACCATAATAATTAATAAATTAAAAAATAACAAGTATGCAGTAGGTGAAGTTTAACCTTTTATCTCAGTTGGATCACCACCAGACTAATTATATGCAGGTCCAGAAAAGCATTTAGGAATAGAGATCCTTTTTCATCTAAAAGTAACTATTGATTTGTTGTTAAGGGGATTCCATCTTAGGATTAGGGGTAATCAAAAAGGCAAAGGAGACACAATGGTTGGGTTAGGATTTTTTTAAACTATACATTTCGGGACGTTTTCTCTTGTATCTATAGTTTTTTTGCACTGCTTTTGACTGCATTTTTGGAAGATAAGCAAAATAAAAATAAAATTTTTCTGAGTGTCTTACACATTGTTCAAGGCTAGAGAGACAATTTTTGCATATTATAAGATGCATGCAAGACAGTAATAAAACATTTGCTCTACTCCAACCAAATCAATAGTTTAGAGTATATGCATTCATACGTGATAAATTGGAATTGAAGATTAAAATGTTGTTGATATTCTCTTCAATTGAAAATCATTGCTAAAATAATGTTTTTTGGCTTTTCTAATATGATTGTTTGTTTGTTTATTTATAAATAATGTGAAAAAATGGACAACATCTACTTAATTTACAGATTTACACAGTGAAAAACAAACACTAAATCATACTATTGAAAAATTTCGCATAAAGCTAATTTATCTTTATCCTCCTTTTCAATAATAATATGAATTGAAATTTGGCAAATTGTTAAGTAAAATATTTTTATCAGATTTAAAAGTAATATAAGAATTCTGTTCAAAAATTGTTTGTAATTTAAATGATTTGAAAATTTTGATATTCTTTGAATTTTTAAATGTTAAAAGTAGATCCACTACAACATTTTTAATACTTTCATTATATTTTTTGAATACTAGTAATGGATTTATTGTTTCATTTTCAAATATACCATTTTCACTTGTTAGGTCAAGTACTGTATATAAATTTTGTATTTTTGAACAGGTATCATAAGACTTATCAATAGTTGAGTAGTATTCCCTCAAAGAACAGTGTCGTTTATGGAATGAAAATATTTTTAGTCCATTTAAAAAAGGAGAAAAACACTCAATCATAAATAATGACCCTGACATTGGGGCTTATTTGTTTAAATCAATAAATATTTAAGTATACCTATATCAGAAACTTGAAAATGATTGATGACATTCACCTCATAGTTATGCAATAAAATCTCCTTAAAGATATTTGATGTATTTAAATTAACAACAGCCAAAGTATTAAAGCCATATGCTCCACCAGATCCAAAAATAATTCTATCTGTTAAAATTTCCAACCAAAATTCACTCCATTTTTTACATTTTATTAATGAACTTTGTAAATTGAATTTTTCAATTTTCGCTGTTGGTTTATAGATTATAAATTTTAAATAATGTTGATTTTCTTCTATAACATTCATATGAATTGAAAATTGAGTTGAATTATCATCTTTAAAACCAATTATGAGTGATGAACAATTTTCAGTTTCATTCTGGCTGCCTTGTCCATAAACTTTAAATTTCATAGCCCTAAAATTGTTATGATATTTTGTTGGTATGTAATAGATAACTGAAGAGTTTTCTTGAATTGTATAAATTCGTTCAGTTCTTTCTTTTTGAATAGAAAAAAAAATGTCAGGAGTTATAAAATTTTTGATGAAATTGTACTTTGTTGTATTGTAATTGTAGGAATTTCTGCTTCTTCAGAACAGTATTCGTCCTTTCCAATCATTTATCAATTTACCAAAGTACTGGTCCAATTAGAACCTTTCAAGTTTGTCCACAAATAGTCTTAACAAATGTAATTTCGATAGAAATAATTCAACAAAATACCAGTATTTCGTCCAAAGAATATGTATTGAGTAAATGAGTTTCTAGTTCTAAACAAGTAAGTTTAAACAACCAGTTAACGGTTAAAGAACTGAACTGTCAACTGTTAATTTCGTAGGGTTTATATACTCTTTTAAGGGTTGATAGTTGACAAATTTCAATGTTCACAAAAACAAAAGTAACATTTTAAGACAAAGAAAAGTTCTAAATATGGTCATGTTTTTATTGTTTTCCTCTTCTAAATAATTGTTGAATTTCTCAGGTTGGAGAGTTGCATAAGATGTAACAATTTTAGTAGGACAAGTCCAACAATCAAGAAAACATGTAGATTGTATATTTGACCATTTTTATATTCTACCTTAATAATGATATTCAATTGATTGAGTTAGTAAATTTAGCATCAGCATATAAGGAGGAAATATATCTGATTAATGCATGTTAAAAAGAACAGTATTGTGTATACACAATACTGTTGAATAGTGAATATAATCTAAACTTAGAATTGAAGCATAATTGATAATTAATTGAACTAGTTTTAGTTGGAAATCCTAAATGTATGGATTAATAAAGTGTAATATTAATGCTAGGTTGCAAATAGCAAATATTCTTTATATAATTCAATAGGTTTTATTGCTGCATAATGTGTATGCACTGCCCTATGCGAAACTAGGTCACTACTGCTTATCTTTATCAGTGCTATCTGCATAGTACAATACTGGTTCAATACTACTTCTCTATTGTAGAATATAGCTGACAAATGTATGTGTACAGAAATAGTAAATAATAGTTACTTTTGTTCCTAAAATATAGCTTTTAATTGTTAATTTAAGTCCACTTTCAATACTCATTGGTTTTGAATGGTGAAAATATTGGGTAAAATATGTGTCTTGCATATTTAGCAATTGAGTGTGATTAGATGACCATTTCATTTCCAGGTCCTTTATAAGAAATTCATTAAATCTGTAGACAAAAAAAGAGAGAGTGGGTAGAGTGGTGTGAATTTATAAAGTAATTCAAACTTGTTGGCCAAGGCCACAAAAACTGGCATGACTGCTCCAATAAAATTGACAGTTATATATTGATTTATACAATCTATACTATTAGGGCAATTTGCATTCCAACTCTTAGTGAAATCCCAATCAAGTGCCTTCTCGCATTCCATTCCAGGAAGAGAAGATGAATGAGTTCATGTTGCTCCTGATTCAAGTTTAGCGGCATCTTCAAATTTTTCGTAATTATGTTCAGGCGCTTTTTCATCTATTTAATGAATAGCATTTAATTATTAATTGTTCATAATATAACAAAGTCTTAAGTTTAACCATGTGCAAATATATGAATTGCATTAAATCCAACATTTGTAGCCAGTGGTCCATACTCTTTTGGTTGAAATTTAATGGAAGAGGAATTGGAACCAAATGTTTCATCTAGTAAAGAGCAAGTTTCAATATCATTGAGCTTGAATACTTTCTCAGCACTGTTAATTGTAACAGTAATCTTTAATATTCTGTTCTTAATTTTTAAAATTGCCTGAAGTATACAAAATTCAATGACGTCATAAGATTTTTGATAAGTGATAGTAATCCATGCCGATGAACATAAAGGATTTGAACATTTAGCAGCCCATTCCAAAATTTCGTCATAGAAATTTGACATTGTATATCTACAATGATAACTCATATATTCATAATTTCCAGGATATACTCTTAAAAGACAATACAGGTAGCAACAATACTAAATACAACTTGTAAAGACTAGTATTATTGTGATAGTGAGCATGCTTTGCAAGAATTAGCAATTGAAGTCTGATTGAAATAGCAAGATGTCACAGACAACAATAAAGCTTTTGCTAAAGAACACTTACTATTACGAACTATCAGGCATATCATGCTTATGGTTGGGTTGCTAAAGATGTTGTGAAAGCAAATCTTTTAGATTATTTAACTGGTCCTGCCAGGGATTTGGTGTTGACACTTGATGGAGAGCCTACTGTAGAGGAAATATGGAAAGCCCTCCATGACAAATTCAATCTTGATCCTATGGAGTATCAAGAGAAACTGTTTAATTTAAAGCATATGAATGGCAAAAGTGTGGTTCAGTTTGTTAACAGACCAAAAGAAATTGATAAAGAGGTTTTCTCCACCTAGACAAATGAACTCACAATTGCTTGCAACAATGAAAGAAATGAAACTGATGGAAGTTTTACAAAGAGGATTACAAGAGGATATTCTACATTTAGTGTACACCTCACATCCTAGAGGTCAAACATTGGCAGAACTATATGCTGCTGCTAGGAAAGTAGAAACCTTGCTAAAACTAACTCAGAGAAAACCAATCGCAATGGTGTTCAAATTGGAAGCTCAAAAGAGAAAAGAGCCCAAAAAGACCCAGGTGATCAGAAAAAATGCTTCTACAGAAACCCCAAATTTTTGGAATAGAAAGCATGTACCTGACTACAAAAACACCACTAAAGAAAAGTGGTCAAACCATAAAGTTCAAAAGTATGCACCATCTCCAACAAACAGGTATTATAAGAAAAATCAACAAGGAAAGTTGATCCTGAAAGAGGAACCTAAGCTACAAAAATTGGACACATTAGACAATGACAGCATGTCAGAAAATGCCGAAGTTCAAGATATTCTCTGTTTTTCAGATAGTGAAGAATCCATCTGTCAGCTGTGTCAAAGTAAACAATCTGAGCAAAATGCTTCAGCATTTGTTGGACAATTTGAAACTAACACTGGTTTTAAGTTTGATGCCTGGATAGACTCTGATAGTGACAGATCTTTTATTTCAAAAAAGGTATTAAGATAACTCAAGGAAAAGTATCCTTCCCAGAACAAACTGTGAAAAATGCTAGAGATGCTTCAGGTAATAGAATAGAAATGTGAAAAGAAATCATTCACAGACTTTATTTCAATGGGAAAATTATTAAACAACGCTTTCTGATCAACAAAATCATTACAAAACAATGTATTAGTGGGTGTGACTTTCTACAACAAAATGGAGCTATCCTTGACTTCTGCAAGTCACATAATACTAAAATTGTTTTTATTCTCAAAAGTTGGTCATGATCTCCCAAAGCCATTTTCTCCAAATCCCAATATGAAGGGGTGAATAATGTAAATCTAAAATGTTTTTACATGCATCCTTTGAATGTTCTTTGTTCCACTGTGGCTACTTCTGCATCTTGTTTACTGCTTTTTTTTCACCTTTATTAAGTTTGTTCAAGATCTCATTTACACTTCTTTGGTCTTTGTCCACTATTCTATTGGGTTTTGCTTTGACTTGTTCAAGTATTTTCATTGGGAAAACTTATTTCTGCTTTCGTTGAATCAATTTCTGCTAGGTTTTGAAAAGAATTTTTCACTGAATTCTTTTCTTGGCTCCTTCAGCGTTTTATCGAGGTCAGATCCAGTTTATAATTTCTGTTTGATTTGAAGGATTTTCAGCACCTTTGAAAAATGATTTGGATGACCTAGTAGAGAAGAAAGTGAATAATTTAAAGGAAGAAAATCTGTTGAATGAAATTCTAGAAGAAAGAGTATGTTTCAAAAAGCAAATATGATTTCTTATACTAATTTCTATTGTTATTTTTAGAGATATACTTATCCCAAGTTCACTGAATGCAAAACCTGCAAACATTACGTTATGGATTACTGTCCAGGCATAAAAGATGACTGTTATGAAGGTTATGGTGTCACTATAATGTGCACTAAATTGAAACTTCAACAACGCCTTTAATGATTTTTAACATTGGTTTCTTTCACATAGAACTCTAGAATCAAATGCACAAAGTGCAATGAGAGATATTATGTAAAGGATGGTTCCTGTTTGCCTTGTCCAGAGAATTGTGCTCTTTGTAATGAACAGAATGGTATTCTACTTTGTCATGTCTGTGCTCCAGAATACTCTATATGTGATACAATAATGTGTGCCCCTTGCCCAAGTTATTGTCTAAAATGCCATTGACCAAATGGAAAGTTGATTTGTTTACCAGATTTATGTGAAGCTGGCTCTGCACTGAACACAGAAAACCTTTGTACTAAATGTCCTACCAATTGTCTATCTTGAACATATAATGAACAAAATTCAAGAACAGAATGCCATGGCAACAGTACTCATCATTCTTGTATTGAAGATGAAAATCAAGGATATTGGACAAAAAAATTTGATGGAACTTGTTCAGGTTATATACAAAATATTTGTGAAAGTAATCAAAATTCAAAATTTATTCATTTTTTAAATAGAGTGTCCATCCAAATGCTTGAAATGCTATTTTAAAGATCAGACTGCTGTGTCTCCAATATGCTATCCTTCAAAATGTCAATTGAAATATGGTTTTGATGATGTCAGTGGCACATGTTTCCAATGTCCAGATGGTTGTGATATTTGCAAAAAGAGATCTGGTTTATTGTACTGTCTGCAATGTAGTAAAGGGTTTGGACCAAAACTGACACTAGATGGCAATATTGATAAATGTATAGCTTGCAATCTTATAGAGAATTGTGAGCACTGTGAAGTGGTTAATAACATAGTTAATTGTTTAGGATCTCAATGCATAAATAATAGAAAATTTGCTTTCCCAAAAAGAGATTGTTCAGAGATTATTCCACCTTCAACAATATCTATTTCAACTCATTTCTCCACATTGAAACCTGGTTTTATTTCGCATGTTTCTACTAAATATACAACTCCAAAAGGGTGTCCTTTTTCAAATATCCCTAATTGCAGATCTGACAGCTTAATAGGTGTAGCTGGTTACGACAGAAAATGTCCCCAAATGCATGATTTAACCCTAACCCTAACCTAGCCCTTGTCACTCCGTAACCTTTTTGATTACCCCTGACCCTTAGAAGGAACCCCCCTAACTACAAATCAATGGCTACTTCACTCACCCTAACCATTTTTCAATCCAAAATGTTGCTTTCAAAAATCTCACTTGGGGATGTTTTCTGTTGGCCCCAGTGTAGCTGACCTTTGCAGTTGCACAAAATGTCTTGATAATTATATTTTGTCAGAAGATAAGAGTCAATGTCTACATTGTTCAACTTTGACTTCTCAATGTGAAGTTTGCACAATGCTTAGTTCATCACCAATTACAATTCAATGTTTAGAGTGTCAAATTGGGTATTATTTAACTTCAACTGGAAATGGACCTTGTGCCAAATGCCTAGAAAATTGTCTGAAATGCTCAGTCAATTTAGAAAATCCAGCAACTACCAAATGTACCCAATGCTCTCATAGTTATGCAAAAATTCAAATAGAAAATGTACTAAATGCCCAATGTATCCAATCAAATGTTCTGAATGTAGAATTGATCCAAATGATGATGAAAATACAATATGTTTACAATTTGGTTGTTCAAATGGTGGATCATTCAATGATCTAGATTTCACTTGTCAACAATGCTCAATTAAAAATTGCCAACTTTGCATCAGAGATGCTTTACTTAATGATAAATGCCTAATTTGCAATGAATCATTTTTTATAGCAGAAGATGGAAGTTGTAAAAAATGCACTGCTAATTGTAAAAAGTGCTTAGATGAGTTTACATGTTTGGGAGATGGTTGTAAAATAGGTTTTATTAAGGATAAGCATAGTGGAGAATGTATTACCTGTACAGGAAATCATGTTTTGTATTGCGAATATGAAAGTTTAAATTCAAACAATTTGATACCAAGAATATGTGAAAAAGGGGGTCGGGTCAGAACGCCCCAGGTCAGTACGCCCCAGGTCAGAACGCCCCAATTTTGGGTCAGAACGCCCCATTCTTGATTTTGAACGCCCCACTCATGAGTCAGAACGCCCCACTCTCTTTAGAGAATTATAGAAAACAATGCTGAGAGAAAAATATTCTTAAATACCAGTTATTATAAATATTTTTACCAGTTTTTTTTTTATCAGTTTATTCTCAGAAATTGTGTTGCTTAAATATAATTCATCTTAGAATAATTAATTTTTTTGCTGTTAATGTCTCACTGAAAAAAGGAGGATGAATTTAAAAACTTGTTGGAAATGTATGAAGAAGTTTCATTGGACTCAAAAGAAGTTTAGATGCAAATTATGTAGGCACTTTTACCATGCTAAATGTTCAAATAGTAAGATTTTATTCTTTAATATTTCTTTTCTATTTAACCATTTCCTCAGATGCAGATTATTGTATAGACTGTTTTAATATAAAAAACAAAAAGCTAATTGTTAAAATAAAAAAGCTGGAAAACAAAAAATCACCAACATGTTCAAAAGTATTTGGAAATGAAACTGTTAGTGAAAGTTCAAGTTTCGAACAGGTACAAAATATTTAACAAATATCTGTTAAAAAAACTATTTAATGTTTTACTATAGCTGAGGTTATCTTTTGACTTTGAATCTAATTTCCCTGATGTTTCAAGTACTCCAGGGAATAATGGAATGGAGAGTTGTGATAAAGATATTGATATTGATAATGATGGAATTTCAAGAGAAGATCAACATCAACCTGCTAAAATTGTTACAGAAAATAGTCCAGTTGTAAGAAGAATTGATATAAATAATGAATCTTCTTTTAATGATACAAGAGAGCTTTGTCTAAATGATAATTTAAAACATGATTTTGAAATATTTAAGAATGGGAGCAGAAAAGGAAAAGATATTCTTCTTCACAATAATTTTACTTATACTGTAAAAAGATCAAGTGAAACAACCATTACCTGGAAATGTAGTCAAAGAACTAAAAAATCACCATGTCTTGCATCTGTAATTCAAAAAGATTTAAAGTTCATTTTGAAAAATTCTAATCACATTCACAAAAGAGAGAAAAATGATATGAGAAAAATTATTGAAGCAAGGTTAAATTTAAAGGAAGCTGCAATTATTGATAAAGACAAATCTGGTAAAAGAATTGCAGAAGATATCAGTCTGAAGTTCCAAGCATTGATGTCATGAAAAGATCTGCTAATAGATACAGAGAAGGTGCCAGACCAAAGCACCCAGAAAACATTATGTTTGAATTAAATTTAAATGAAATTCCAGATAATTTTTTCTTAAAAGATATAAAAGGGAAGAAAAGCCGAAACATGATGTTTGCAACTGACCATCAAATTAAATTATTGAAACATTGTAAGATATGGTTTATTGATGCCACATTTAAAATTGTGAGAAAACCTTTTTACCAATTGTTTACAATTCATGGATTTATAAGAAAAGAAGGTGAATATAAACAAGTTCCTTTAATGTTTGTCCTCATGACAGGAAAGAAGAAGAAACATTATTCATTGATATTTGAGGTTGGCTTTCTAAAGTAAATATTTGAGTAAAAATTCTAAAGATATATTTTGCTTTACAAGGAGTTAAAAATCTTAATAGATGGAAAAAGCCCAAAAAAGTTTGTTCTTGATTTTGAAAAAGCTCTTTGGATATCTTTAAAAAATGCTTTTGTTGATTCTGATCTACAAGGATGTGCTTTTCATTTTAAACAAGCAATTCTTAAAAACATACAGGTAAATTAAAGTAATTATAACAATTCTGTTACAGATTTAATTTGTGAAATTAAGAAATTAACAAATACAAATTTTCTTTTTAGAAATTAGGATACATCAAGGACTATAAAATGAAAGGTTATAAAGGAAATGTGTTAAGAAAACTAATGTGTCTAGCATACTTACCAGCATCATTCATCAAACAAAAGTTTTATCAAATTAAAGAGGAACTTTTGGAACTGAATTTATATGCTGATCTTCTTGAGTATATGCAATCTACTTACATTGAAAGCAATATTTGGAAACCAGAAAATTGGTCAGTTTATAAATTAATAGTTCGTACAAATAATAATGTAGAGTCTTGGCACACAAGAATCAATCAAAATTTGAAAAGCAATGAAAACTTTTATACTCTTATCACTGAACTTCATAGAGAAAGCAGCCTTATTGAAGTTTATGAGGATATGTTGGTGGAAAATAAAATGAGACAGAATCAGAAGAATAAATATAAAGATTTGCAGGATATTATCTTTGAGTTGTGGAAGAAGTTTGAAGTAAGAGAATTAAGTTTAGATAATCTCTTAAAGGGTTTAATTGACTTGAACATTGCTTGAAAAATTATTTCTTTTTTTGTGATCACTTATTATATTTGTTTAAGCTTTTGTACTTTAAGACAAAAAATACATTATGCATATATATTTTTATATTCAATTGACTTTTTTTAATTTAATAAGTACAGCATTAAAAAATATTATGTTCTTCAAAAATCAGTGGGGCGTTCTGACTCATGAGTGGGGCGTTCGAAATCAAGAATGGGGCGTTCTGACCCAAAATTGGGGCGTTCTGACCTGGGGCGTACTGACCAGGGGCGTTCTGACCCTAAGCCGTGAAAAAGAATATGTACTTTATGTAGCTGCAATTCCAAATGAATGTAGAGGTAGTGTATATTGAGGATAAACTAAAGAATTAGACATATAATCAGTTTATTGTACTTTGTTTTAGCATGTGATAGAAACTGTCTGCAATGTTCTGCAACAGGTGAAGGGAATTGTGATGAGGGAAATTGCAAAGCTGGATATTTTCTTCACAATAAACATTGTCATACTAAAAAAGAAAATTGTCTTGAGCACTGGTTTCAAGATGGTCAGTTTGTATGCTCCCAATGTGAAAAAACTTATAAACCCTCTAAAGGAAATTGTCACAAATGCCCTGATGGTTGTAAGTATTGTCATGGATACCTTTGGAGATTTACCTGTAGTCAAGATGGTTGCTTAGATAATTACTATATAGACGTTTCAAAAAAATATTGTAAAATATGTGATAGTCTTTGTAAGAAATGTATTCATTTGCTTTCATGTGCAGAATGTGCACCTGGCTCTGGTCTTGTAGGTTATAGTTATAAAAACTGTTTTTTATGTATTGACCCCAATTGTCAAAACTGCCCATCAGCTACATTGAATAGTGAAGATGCAGTTTGTATTGAATGTAAGGATAGATTCTACAGAGCTACAACACCTTGTTTAAAATGTCCTCCAAATTGTTTACATTGTGCTATAAATTATTCTGGAATGAAATGTGTAAAATGTCTGCCAGACTATTATTTGTATAATAATCAATGCATTAAATGTCTGCCAAATTGTATAGAATGTTACAACAGCCAGAAATGCACTAAATGCAAACCAACATATTCTCTTGGATCAGATGGATTTTGTAAAATATGTTCAAGTGTTACATTTGAAAACTGTCTAACATGCATAGATCATGTTTATAGGCCATCAGAATGTTTGACATGCAAACCATACTATGCTCTAAAAGGTGATAAATCAGGTTGTGTTCCATGTCCAATTAGTGATTGTGAAGTATGTATTTATGGAAAAGAATGCTTGAAATGTAAAGAAAACCACTTTCAAACAAAATATAATACAGAATGTGGTAAATATTGCTTCAGCTGTACAGGTCCTACATGTATTCACCCAAGACTTCAAACTGCAGAAATTGGTAGTGCAGTTCTTGTTAAATGTGACTTTGGCGACTGTTGGTCAAGGAGAACAAGCATAAATTATGAAAGAAGTTGCTCAAGACAGCTATGCCCAAATGATGATTATCAAAATAATTGTTTCCGGACTGATAAGTGGTATAAATGTGAAAATTGTTGTACAGCTACAAAATGTAATATTAAAGATATAGGAAGTCAATTGCCAGAAAATTTTTCTTGCAGATTTCACTCTTCAGAGTTTTTTATATACATTTCACTTTTGTTTCTTGTGTTTTCTCTTGCTTTCTAACAGTTGTATATTTTTACTTTTATGCTGAAATATACTGATAAATATTCATATATAAATAGCAATTGTTGTTTACTGTATCCATCTTAAGTTAGACACCAGTTTTGCTAAAAATCACCTTGAATTCTTAGTTAAAAACAAGCAATTTGAAACAAGAAGCTGATAGACATAGACCTTGGTTAGTTATCATTAAGGTACATCTTTAAATATCAGTTAATGTTTGGCCAAAATCCTTTTCCTGTATGTGTCCCATGGATTTAGCTCAACAAAGTGCTTTGGCACATGCCAGTAGTTTTCAAACTATTTTTATTTATATTAGAAAAAGGATCCTACATGCATATTTGCACATTTTTCTTCCTTTTACAATCTTTTTCCTAAGTGTTGAACCTTGTAACGTCATGTTTTTAAAGATAAATAAAAACTGGACAGTTTGGCCACTGTAAAGTGATGATTATTGAAATGTTTCAATCCATAAGTAAATATTCTTGAAAGAATATTGTTGTTCCATAAATTCATCATCATCTTCATATTCACAATCTTCTGAAAAATTACTATACAATTTGTCTTTAACTCTATTAAAATGAATGGAAATACAATAGTATAAATAGTTAAATTATACAAACAAAATTAAGGGCTATTAGGGATTATATAGAGCTCAATAGAGAAAGAAAGATATAGGTATAGGTAAGCATGAACAAATCAATGGTTTTACCCAACCTTATTACTACAAAACACAATAATATTACTCAATCAATAAAGTAATGAAATCCAGAGAGAAGAGACATTGCACTTGAAAAAATAGGAATACATTTCGTCAAAGTGAGTCATTATTTGCATTCAGCTAAATGAAAAAATACCAACTTCAGCAAAAAAGGTGTTGAAATATATCTACAGATATAAGAAAGGCATATTGGTAAATAGTATAGATTGACTAGGCAAGAGGTTAATGTTAATTCTGAAAAAAAGACATTTACACTCTGCCAATCAAGATATCTCTGCACTATAAATGGAAATTAAATAGAAATCTTGTGAATTTTTTAAAGGTAATATTTTTGAGACAAAATATTAAAAAAAAAGAAATTACAAGAATATATCTTTCTTTCTTCAGAGATAATTACAGATCATGAAAAATCCTATATTAAAATATCATGAAAAACAGATAAAACATGCTTTAGAGAATGATGAAATATTTAATAAGAAATTACAAGAATTAAAGATTAATTTCAATTCTTTTGATGATACTAATAAACTTTTAAACATTTTAGAAAGTATAAAACTCTATGATAAAAAATATACTGAAATTGGAAATTTAATTAAAAGTACCTGGAAAAATGTTATCTTTGAAAGAAAATATTATTTTCAATTGCAAATTGACTTTTTACATAATCAAAAAACTTTTATCATAAAATATAATGATAAATATATACCAAATCAACTTTTATTGACAAAATGCAATAAGAATGAAGAAAGTGTTGGCAAATTTTTTCAAATTGAACAACTTTTGAATTATTTAAAATTCTTAAAAAATGATGATAAACTACTAATTTATGGTGAAGAAGGTATTGGTAAAACATTTTTCTCAACAGCTATTCTCCATTTTTGGTCTGAGAATAAACGAGAAATATTTCTAGAAGATAAATTATTTTTATATGTCAAATTCAATGAATTATTTAAAGATGAAAATAGAAATTATTCATTTGAGGAGATTTTATTCAAAAATAATTTTGGTAATAATTCAAAAATCACATTTGAATTATTTAAACATTTTCTATGCAATTCGGGAGAGAAAGTTCTCTTAATTCTGGATGAAATTGATGATATTAACTTCTTGGAGACAAATGAGAAATGTGAATTTCTTAATTATCAATTCCCAATGATTATTTTGTCAAGAAGAAGAGAAGGAGAAGGAGAGAAATTAAATTCTTTACTTGGTTGTTGTTGTTCTACATTTGAATTAAAAGGATTTAACAAAGGTCAGATAAACAGTCTTTTCCTAAGATGCTTAAAGGAATATAATTGTGAAAATGATTATTTAATTAATGATGTTAATGATTGGGTATTTCAAACTACAAAGAAAAATGATATGGAAGATTTAAATCAACTTTTAACCATGTTAAAAAGTAACAGTAACGGAAAATATCTCTTCAAACTTTGTAGTAATCCTTTTATGGCAAATTTAATATTAATCATTTGGAAAGAACAAAAATATTTCAACATATTGCACAATAAATATGAAATATTTGACTGTATTTCAACTCTATGTTTACAAAAAGGGAGAGCAATAAACAAGGAAAATAAAATTTATTACATAAGTCTATTTGCTTTTTATGATCTATTCCAAATTGGATTTACATGGACAGAGATAAAGTCTGTAAATAATACTATAAAAGAATACTTCTATTTTCGATGGTTTTTTAATCCTTCAACAAGGAAGAGTGGATTAAATTTTGAATTTTCTCACATGCTATTTAAAGAATATTTTGCAGCAAAATTTATCATTGAATCGTATCAGAAAAAACTATATGAAAATATTCAATTAATAGAATCAATAATCAGAAATTTAAAGAATTTGTTTATATTAAAAAATGTCTTCTCATTTGTCCTTGACATTGACTGTAATATCTGTGCAAAGCTAACAGCTATAAAAGGATTGGATAATATTTTATCTATTCTGGATATAGATGAAAGACTTTGCACATATATTAGAAATAAATCCATCATTACTACAATTGAATTATCTAATATTAAATTACCAATTGGAATTTGGAGGTTAATCCTACATAACTCTACCAAACAAATCAAAGAAATTCAAATTACAGATGTAGATATAGATTTAAACAACTTTATTCATATTGGTCAAGAATTTCTAAAAAATTCTCTTTCTATTATAAAAATTTATGATAACAATCTAATGAGTTCTATCATTACTGCTGAAACTTTACAAAGCATAATGGAACAATTTAAAAATTTAAAAGTTTTTAAATTAAAAAATATTCAATTTGAAAATTCAAATAACAATACTCCATTATGCATAAAATCAAATAGTTTAGAAGAGTTATATATTGTAAATTGTAGACTGGAAAAAGCATTCGAAATAAATTGTCCAAACTTAAGAAAATGTAAACTGATAAAAGTTTGTAAAAAATTAAATTTTACAAAGTTTTTGGAAGATAATTTTAAATTACAAGAATTAAATTTATCTGAAACTTCATTATCAGAAGATTTGGGCAAGAATTTCTTTGAAATGTTAAATAATTTTACAATATCATTATCTTCCCTTAAATGCAATATTTGTGATATTGTTGCAAAATCTAATGATATTGTTCAGTTTCTTAAAAAACATAAACATTTAAATACTTTAGAAATGATTGGAAATATAATTGATTTGGCAGATAATTTGATGGATACATTGGATTTTTTTCAGGCTATTTTAACAGCAAATTCTCTAAAAGTATTAAAATTACCAATTATTGAGTGCTCAAATAGTGAAATAATAAGAGAAACAACCACAATATTTGATGATTTTACAAGGATAAAACTTGATTTGATATTTCTAGATATTGGTGGAAATTCTCTAGACAATACCTTGATATATAATTTTATTAAAATGCTAATTTCATGTTCAGTTAGTTTAAAAGTTTTGGTAACAAATTGGTACAATTCTGCTCATACTGAACTTTTACTATTTAGTAAATTAATTAATGAAACTAATTTATGGAATTATTCTAATTTGAAATATTTGAAATTTTTACATTCAAATTCAAAATTTAACTTGAAAGAGTTTAATGAAAATTTCACTTCTGGAATGAAAAATTTAAATGATAAATTATCTCTAAATGTTTTAAGAATAATTCACCTAAAAAATTGCCAACTGTCTGATGATTTCTTAACAAGGCTGATAAATATTTGGACTGAATTAACCTCAATAAAAAGTTTGGATATTAGTTACAATAAATTTTCAAAGGATGCAAGTTTAAAATTTTTAAAAAAGATTAAAAGTGAAAAATATCAACAATTTACAAATTTGTATATGCATCATTGTAATTGGGAAAATATAGATATACTTGAATATTTGAATTCAATTTCAGAAATAAAGTATTTAAGAATTTTCAACTCAAAATCCAAATATACAAAACTGGTATCAGATATAAAAAATAGAAATGAAAATCTTATAGTTGATGTCAATTCAGAAACTTTTAATTTATCAAATATGAAAAAATTATGGAGAATTTACAAATATATTTCTGATGTGAAAACTTTAAATACTGAAATTTTAGCAAATTATGAGAAGGAAATTATTCGATATTTATTAAACTTTACAAATATACATCTACATACAATTCTCATTAAAAAATATGATTTTTTTAAAGAGGAGAAATCTGAATTGAATTACTGTGGAATGCTGACTAAACAATTAATTTTTAATAAGGAAAATATTCAAGAATTTAATCTAAATAATAGTTTAATTGGAGATTGCAATGGTAAAATCTTGCTGGAATGTATTAAGGAGAATTGTAAGAATTTATCAATTCTGAATTTAGAAAATTGTGGATTTACATCAGAAATTGGAAATATTATTGGAGAAGCTATTGGCCAACAACAAAATCATCTGCAAGAATTAAACTTGAAAAATAACTTTTTAAAGGCCTATATTGGACAATGTATATTTGAAAATATTGAACAGAATTGTAGTAATATCATGATTTTGAATGTTATAAATTGTGGATTTACATCAAAAATTGGTACCAGTTTTGCAAATGCAATTGGAAAACAAAGGAAATTGAAAGAGTTATATATTAGTAGCAATTGTTTGAATGATCAGATTGGAAAAAATCTATTTTTCAATATCAAAGAGAATTGTACTAATATTTCTGCTCTTAATTTTGATTGTTGTGGATTTACATCAGAAATTGGAGATATATTGGGCAATGGAATTGGTGAACAGAAGTATTTAGTCTATCTTAATGGATCTGATAATGAATTTGGAAATGATATTGGAAAAAATATTTTTTATAATATAAAGAAAAATTGTAGTCATCTACTCACAATGAATTTTTGGAATTGTCATTTTACATCAAAAATTGGAAATATTGTTGGAGATGCAATTGGTCAACAAACTAACATTCAACATGTTTCATTTTATGACAATGAATTAGGAGATGATGTTGGAAAACATATTTGTTTGAACATAAGGGATAATTGTTCAGATATATTAACACTTAGTTTTGAATCTTGTTCATTTACTTCAGAAATTGGAGATGTTTTAGGTGCTGCGATTGGTCAACAAAAAAATCTTCGAGATTTGGGCATCTATGAAAATCCATTTGGTGATGAAGTCACCAAAAATTTATTAACAATTATCAGAGAAAACTGTAAAAATATTACATTGCTGAATATTGGAGATTGTACAGTAACAACATTAACTTCAGAGAGCATTACAGACATTATTAATGATGATAATTGCCTAGAAGAACTCAGTATTAAAAATATCAAATATGAGTTTGATTGTGCAAAAGATATATTTTTAAGTATTGAAAATAGTTGTAAAAGTTTTTATGGTCTATGTTTTGGAAATTGTTACTTTCCTCCTGAATTAACAGCTATATTTACTGCTAGTATCATTAAACAAGATAGAATAAAAGAACTATATCTATGGGATAATCAATTGGGTAATGAAGGCTGGAAATATGTTTTAATGAACTTGAAAAATAATTGCCCAATCCTTTCAACTTTGGATTTAACTAACTGTGGAATTTCTTCAGATATTGGAAATGTTTTGGGTTGTGCACTCAGGAAGAAGAGATTTATGAAAGAGTTGTTTCTTTGGGATAATCAGCTTGAAGATGATGTTGGAAAGCATCTATTTCATTGTATAAAAGAGTCTCATCATACTATAACAATTTTAAATATTGATAATTGTGGTTTTACATCAAATATTGGAGATATTTTGGGTGATGCTATAGGTCAACAATATGGTCTTAAAGAGTTATTTTGCTGTAATAATCACTTTGAAGATAAAGTTGGGGAAAATATCTTTGAAAATATTACAAAAAATTGTAGAAAAATGACAGTTATTGATTGCAAAAATTGTGGATTTACATCAAAAATTGGAAATAGTATTGGTAATGCAATTGGTTGTCAAAAATATCTTACTGAATTGCATATAGCAAATAATCAACTTGGAGATAAAGTTGGCAGAAATATATTTCATAATATAAACAATAATTGTGAATTTATTAAATATTTAAGAGCTTTTAATTGTGGATTTACACACCAAATTGGTAGAATCATTGGTGATGCAATTGGCAAACAAACAAACCTACATTCAATTGATGTATCTGAAAATTATTTTGGAGATGTTATTGGAAAATCTATATTTGCAAATATTAGATGGAATTGTTCAAAACTTACAAAATTTGGTTTTGGTAAATGTGGATTTACTTCAAAAATTGATGCAATTATAGTTGATGCAATTGGTCAACAAACTAACCTTAAAAGCTTATATTTTTGGCATAATGAAGTGGGAGATGTTATTGGAAATCGCATTTTTCAATCAGTACAACAAAATTGTCAAAAACTCTCTCTTTTTAAGATACAAAAGTGTAGATTTTCTTTTCATGTTGGAAAAATTGTTTGTGATGCAATTGGCCAACAAAATGACCTTGAAGTTTTGTCAATCTGTGACAATGATTTTGGAGATGATATTGGTAAAGATTTACTTGAAAAAATTTATAAAAATTGTCATAAAATCTCATGTTTAACTATGGGAAATTGTCAGTTTACTTCTAGAATAGGAAATATCCTGCCCAAAGCAATTTGTCAACAGAAAAACTTGGAAATATTAGATATAAGTGATAACATTATAGAAGACAGTATTGGAACAGAATTATTCAAAAGTCTTGAAAACAGTTGTATAAACCTTACCAAACTTGATATAAGCAATTGTGGATTTACTTCAGAAATTGGAATAATTTTAAGTGATGCAATAGGTCAACAAACTTCCCTAACATCACTCATAATTCAAGATAACCTTTTAGGAGATACTATAGGAAAATATCTCTTTTCAATTATAGCAAAGAACAATAAAAAACTTGAGTTATTAAATTTTAGCAATTGTGATTTTACAACAGATGTTGGTTACATAATGGCCGAGGCAATTGGTTCTCTAAAAAATTTGAAAATATTACATTGTCAGGACAATAAATTAGGAAATTATGTTGGAAAACATATATTTAAGCAAATCAATGAAAATTGTAGAAATATTGAGAAACTTATTTGCAGTAATTGCAGATTTACTTCAACTATTGGAGATATTGTTGGTGATGCAATAGGCAAACAAACTAATATTAAAGAATTGTCATTCTGGCTTAATCTATTGGGAGATGATGTTGGTAAAAGTATTTTTCAAAATATTCAAAAATATTGTAGAAATATTAAAGTACTGAATTTTGGAAATTGCCAATTTACATCTGCAATTGGTAATATTATTGGAGATGCAATTAGTGAACAAAAGGATCTTAATTATTTATACATTTGGAATAATGACTTTGGAGATCATTTGGGAAGATATATTTTTGAAAATCTTCAAGCAAATTGTTATAATTTAACTCATTTAAATGTTGGAGGTTGTAGACTTACTTCAAATATGGGAAGTATTATTGGTGAAGTAATAGGTCAACAGTATAATCTACAAAAGTTGGTAATGTGGGAAAATTCATTAGGAGATAATGTCGGAGAAGAAATTTTTAATCATTTAAAAGAAAACTGTAAAGAAATTGTATATATTAATTGTAGAATGTGTAATTTTACTTTTCAAATTGGAAATTGTATTGGAGAAGCAATTGGACAGCAAAAACATGTTAAGAATTTCAATATGGCTGAAAACAATCTGGAAGATGATGTTGGAAGGAATATATTTGAAAATATTAAAGAAAATTGCTATGATATTTCAATACTTAAATTTGACAATTGTGGATTTACAACAGATATTGGAAATATTTTAGGAGATGCAATTGGCCAACAGCATAGACTTCGAGAATTAACATTCTCCAACAATCAATTAGGAGATGCTGTTGGAATTAATCTCTTTAATAAACTCAGAGAAAATTGCTTTAATATTAAAATTTTTAAATTTGACAATTGTGGATTTACAGCAAATATTGGAAATATTTTGGGAGATTTAATTGGCCAACAAAACAATCTTCAAATATTGCATGTAGCAAATAATCAATTTGGAAATGATGTTGGAAAATGTCTCTTTCAAAATATAAAAAAATATTGTGACAATATTTATGAAATTCAATGCAACAATTGTGGATTTACCTCAAAAATTGGAAATGTTGTTTATGATGCTATTGTTTATCATCAACAATTAAATTACCTTCATATTTGGAATAATCGATTAATGCATAGAATTCGAGAAAATCTATCTTCAAATATTTTAGTTAGGAACAGATTAGGATAATCCAAAACAAAATGTCCATTTTTTATAATTGTATCCAATACAATAGTTTTATATCCAATGTATATTTTTGTGCTCATTTTCAAGTTCTGATCAATTCAATTTTAAGCTAAATAGTATACTACTCAGAAGAAATTAAGTCTACACCACTTGGAACATGTTTTTCCTCTTCTTTTGACAAGCAAAAGGTTGAGATTAAAATAGGCCTACAACATCCATTCCATCTCTCAGTTTAGAAGCTGCTCCTTTTTCAATATATTTTACCTAATTCTGAGTAGTTTCATTAGTTTGTTTGAAAATATTAGCATTTATCATGATCAAATATTAAAAATCTTTTTCATGATGAAAAAAGATTATTTTTTTTTATTTTTTTTGTGTTTAATAATAGATTAAACTTGCAATTTTATATATATATTATTTTACATATTTTATTGGAGCAATGTTCAATAGTTAAATTTTTGGTCTATTTTTGTATGTGCCCACCCTCTCTTTCTATACATGTGCTTATTCTTTGGCCCATTCCCTCATATAAGCTTGGCAGCAAGTGCTTCTTTGTAGATTTTGAACAGGTAAATATTTAAAGCTTTTTAACTAGATTTTTGATGCAAAATATTACAATTTAATATATTTTCTTTAATAACAAATTGTTTCAATATTTGCAATAAACAAAATTTCAGCCATTTTGAATATTTGGAAATGACAGTGATTTTTTAATAATCAAGTGAATTTGTTCTGTTGAAACAACATGGCTTCAAAATGCAACAATTGTGATTCAAAAATTTATGGAAGGCAAAAATATTTGAAATGCTGCCTTTGTGAGAATCTTATCCATAGAAAATGTTCAGGTACATCAGTTTTCAATTATGATTTAGGCAACTATCTTTTTGTAACACATTGACATAGAAACACCTAGCATACCTGTTTGCACAAGATGTAACAAAAGAAAATGTACTGTTAGCCTTAAGAAGTTAACAAATCTGGAAATTGATCAATACAAAGAGAGTAATAAGAAGGACTTCAATGATAACAGAAGTGATCCTGCTGAGGTTAAAGATTCAACATTGGATTATGAAAGTCCTCAGCAATCAGAAAACCAATCAATGGATGTAGAAGGAACTGATGAAAATACAGAAGATGAAAATGACTCAATCAGGAGGAATGATTTTGAGATTGTACAAGGAGGAAGCAGAAAAGGACATGACATTTTATTGAATGATGGATATTCTTTTGTTGTTAAACATAAAACACTTACAACAACAATTTGGGTATGCAGTGTGAGAAGTAAGAAAAAAAGATGTGTAGCTAGAATAAGACAAAATGGAAGTATATTTATTAAAGGCAATCTGGAACATAATCACAACAGAAAACCTAATTTGGAAGTAGATGTTAAAGTAAAAACTGATGTAAAAACTATTTGCAAAAGTGATAACAAAGCATCTGGAAGAAGCATTGCTGAAAAAGTTCTATTGTCATATGAACCTAATGCTAAATGTCTTCCTGATATCAATTACTTAAAAAGGATGGCAAACTCAAACAGACAAAAATTCAGGCCAGTTGAACCAAAAGTGTATAACTTCAACTTGAACACAACTTTTTTACCTGATGAATTTCTGCAGAAAGACATTTGTGAAAATGGAGAAAGAATCTTAATTTTTGCAACAAACCATCAGCTGAACTTATTATCCAAATCCAACTACTGGTATATTGATGGTACTTTCAAAATTGTTAAGGATCCATTTTATCAGCTGGTCACTGTTCATTCCTTTGTAAAAAAGAGTGGTGATATGAAGCAAGTCCCTCTTGTTTTCATTTTCTTAACATCAAAGCATATGAACAAACTAATGTTTGTGATGATTGCTCAACTGCTTTTAAAACATCCCATTTTACATCATTCATACATAAAACGAACCTTTAGAATGACTAACTGAAATATCTTATAGGATTTAGTGAATATTTTTGTCCTAGACTGTATATTGTATTTTGTTGTATTTCAATTATAGGAATTTCTGGGTCAGTGTACAACTTTTTTTGTACTTTGTCAAATGATTATGAGGAGTGAAGTAGCTATTGATTTGTAGTTAGGGAGATTCCATCTAACAGGCAATCAAAAAAGTTAGGCAGTGACATGATGTTTTCAATAAATAAATGTATTCTAAACCTAGAATTAAAAGTATTAAACATTTATTGCTTTAACAGTTAAAGAGTT